TATATATATATATCTGATCTTGATATAGATCTCTGAATAAGCACTTACGGCAGAGGGATAGTAATGACAACATCATTGAGTTCAAGTCCCTGGTCCTGAAGCTCATACTCAATGTTGACGTCACAGCCACTTCCACTTTCTGATGGCCAACAGTTAACTGAGAGCACAAAAGGTACACGCATGATTGAAATGTTTGTGAAAGTGCAGTTCTACTAAATCCTCGAGTTCTATAACTTTACCAATTAACACTTAAGTAAGTCAAGACTCACTGGTTAAAGGAATGAGGGACTCATCTGTGCTCTGTAACCTCCATTTCAGAACCCCCAAATCACTGTTGAGAGGAAAGGACTTGTCCTGGTTTTTCAGAACGATCAGGGACTCGTTGGTAAACAGCTTTTTATCAACATGAGGATGAGTCTGAAGAATAAATAAAACAATGTGAGTCACATGGCCAAGACAAAAGATTTTTGAAGGTCTGAACGTCACTGAGGGTGCAGTGTTCTTTTCTATAAATATCAGACTGTCAACAACTTTCCCTTCAAAATATATACTGAGATCCTGACATGCTGTGTTGTGTCTCACACACACCTGTAGTTGGGCTCCCTTCTTGTCATTGTTGTTGATGAGTATGGAAATGCGGCCATTTTTTTCATCTGTGACTTTCAGAGTGATCATGCCCAGAACCTCCATGTTCTGCAGCCCACCATCCCGACCACAGGTCAGAGATATCTTCTCCTCCACCCTCAAATGTACACTGGGAAACAGAGTTCATAAGCTATTAACAATTGGCTTATTTATCAGAAAATAATATCATTATAATATGAAAATACAATACCGTTAACACAATACAAAAGCTTGCGGTCAATAGGATTTTTTAAATATTTTGCAACCAAGGCTGCATTTGCTTAAAAAACCTACAGTAAAAACAATAATATTGTGAAACATTAATATTTAAAATAACCCTTTTCTATTTGAATATATTTTAAATAGTGCTGTCAAACGATTAATCGCATCCAAAATTAAAATGTTTGTTTACATAATATATAGTATACACACACAGTATACACACACAATGTAAACAAACTTATTTTGGAAGCGATTAATCGTGATCATTCGTTTGACAGCACTAATTTTAAAATGTGATTTATTCCTGTGATACAAAGCTGAATTTCAGCAGCCATTACTCTAGTATTTATTGTCACATGATCCTTCAGAAATCATTCAATCAAATGATCAATGATGATTTGGTTCTCGAGAAAGATTTCTTAAAATTATGAACACTGAAAAAGAGTTATATTTTTTTTTCAATAAGTTACTTTGAAAAAAATAGTATTTTGTGGAAACCGTGATACACAATTTTTTTCAGGATTCTCAGGATAAAAGTTTTTTTTTTAGCATATATTTTAGTGTCACTTTTCATCAATTGAATTCATCCTTGCTGAATAATATTTCTCTCAAAAAAAGAAAAAGAAAAAAAAAACCTGACAAACTAAGTGTAAGCAGGGTTGTACGTTAACCTTTTGTGCACATAGCACTGGTGCTACAGAGGTTGAAAATATTGTAGCACAAGTATAAAACGTCTGTTATCATATCTGAAAACAAACACAAGTAATGGAGTTCATCACTTAAACAAACATTGATGTTCCAAAGAGCACAAAAAACACAAACCATCACAAAAATTGTTTTAAACTAGGGCTGCACGATAAATCGCATGCGATATTTAACGCGCATTTTGTCAGTAAAGCCGGTTCTGTAATCAGCCGTAAATCTCGATCACGTTTTCACATGGAGAAGCATTTACTACACAGAGCCATTGTTCACTGACAAGCTGTGCAAAACCACGATCATATTTTGCGCATGTTTTGCGCAGCTCGTCAGTGAACAACGGCTCTGTGTAGTTAATGCTGCTCCATGTGAAAGCCTGCACGTGATGGAGATTTACCACTGATTACAGAACGGCTTTACTGACAAGATGCGCATTAAATATCGCATGTGATTTATCGTGCAGCCCTATTTTAAACAAAACGATCTGTTACGTACATACTAAATTTGTCTTAATTTGCTAAAAATGGAAGAGTGCAGAAACATAACACCACCTACACCTCAACAAAACATAAAATAAAAAAGAATGGCAGACATTTAGGCTAAAGTGGGTGAAGATAGAAATCCTTGTCATTATTTTATCTTTGTTATGGACCCTTTTCACTATACACTATATTTTGTATTATATTACCTTTGCATCAAATTACAAAAAACGAATTAACACTAATGCGAGGGTGTTTCTAATACTGCGTCCATGGGAGAGACGGTAAATTTGACATCGTTCTCTCTTCTGACTGTCATTATCAGTCTCTCTCTCTTTTTTCTTTTCTTTTTTGAAAGTCATGAAAACATTATCGTGGAGTTTTTCTTTTGCTATTTGAGCAAATGGGAATGCAAAAAAATATATATATATATTTGTGGTAGTCTCCCCATTCACCACTATAGATTTACCCATGATCTATGATGACTTCCGCTGCTGAGAAACCCGGAAATGTGAAAAGGGTCTATTAAAAAAATAAGACCGTTTGGTAACCCACATTCTTCAAAATATCTTATTTTGTGATCAGCACAAGAAAGAAATGAATACAGGTTTTGGACAATGTGAGTGAGCAAATAATGACAGAAATGTAATTTTTGGGTGAACTATTCCTTTAATGACAAGCAGCAGCATGTTTAGTAGCTACTGTCCCTTTAAGAGCTGCACGCATCAGTTTCTCTCTCAACTGTTTTACTTTCATTTTAGACATAACCAACTGTGTTTAAATGTAAACCTTGTGTGTTTTTGACAGTATTAGATGCTAAATCAATCAGACACGAAAAACAACAGTAATCAGGTGCTGTTTGACAGGCTCTGTGCAAGTGCTTCAGGTGTATGCGTTCAGAAAATACGCATGTCAGAACAGCATGTGAATTAAATGTTTAAGCAGATGCAAATAATGTACTTTTGTTATTGTGCATGACTGGCAGCCCTGTGTAAGTAACTTTGGTAGTGTAGGTAACAGTATAGAGTAAAATGTGCCAGATACTGAAATAAAATGAGTAAGTGATACCTCTCTATATTCACTGGAGGCTGAAGGACTTTAGATGCCTCTGATGCCTTCCTTCCTGCACTGGATGTGATGATATTTTCTCCTTCTGACTTAAGTTTGTCCACAAAGTTATCAACCTCTTTTCCTTTGACACCCAGCTTCAGTGCTTTACTGGACCCACTCGGCCTACAGGAAGAACAGGGCAGATTAACTTCTGTATGCTTATGTATTTAGATATATCATAGACCACAGTTACTGCTCATACCTGACTGAAGCAGGAGCCACTTTGGGCTTCTCTGGCTCTATTGTATCAGTGATGATGGTGGCTGATGTGACGCTGCTCATTCCTGAACTTCCAAAACCTCCGAAGCCTGGCGATTTCTTTCCGGCACGTTCAGCATCTTGTCTTGCTCGCTGCAGCTCTTTAGCCTTGCGTTTCATCTCAGCCTTTGCTTCTCTTTCTTGGGTCTGTTACAGTGGAAAATTGAGAAAAACAGAGAAAATTAAGAGTTGGTTCTATACAAACTTAAAGCAGAGAGTAATTTAGCTCTGGATATTTCATTAAACTTAAGAGAATATCGGACCTCTCTGACAGCCCTGAAGACCTTCTCTTCATGCGAGTCCATCTCAGTAAAAGTGCGAATCTGTGCCAGGTTAACGTTCTCCCGGTAGCCCAGAGCTACAATCTCATCAAATGCAAATATGATATCAAAACAGTGCTCTGAGATCTCGCTTTCCTCCAGCACTCTGCAATATTCAGGGATCTGGAAAAAACACAGAAATCAATCACTTAATTCAAGACACATCCAAGAATGGCAATAATTGGAAAAATAAAAAAGTACGTTTTACCACTCGGGAGAAAAGTCTTAGTGTCTCCAAGTCCTCCAGAATGTTGCTGTTCTTTGTAGTGATCAGAACCATGTAGAGTTTCTCTAGGGGCTGGTAGACATAGCGCACACTCTCCGTTTCCACAAAAGTGTGCTGCTTTCCTGTATTCATCAGTTTGGGAAAGGCAGCCAGAAGACCCTCGACACGGGTTCGCGTCATCTCTACGAATTGTCGTGACACTATGGCTTTTCCTGCCTTAGTGCACACCGCCGCTGCCAAGAGCACCTGCAAAGATTTAAGTGACGTTAAAAACCTAATCAGATGAAGCACAATTAAAGACTATCTATCTATAGACATATATTTCAAAAATGACTATCAAGTTACATTACTAGTGCAAATAATAAAATAATACAAATGGACCATCAAAAGGTCATTTAAGATGAAGTGTGCAAATTTCTGACTTGTAAGTTAAGCTCAATGAGCCAATATAAATGCAAATTAAAGTATAATATATTGTTGTTACTGTTAACTAAAACTATTAAAAATGCTTTTTTTTTTTAATTTAAAATAAAGCTGAAATAAAATAAAATATCAAAAGTTTAAAAACTTCAGCTTAAAAACTTAATTTTGTAGAAGTTGTTTTGGCAATTACAAGAAATCACATCATTACTAAAATGAATAAAACTGAAATTTAAATACATTTCAGCTAAACAGAAATATCTAAGAAAAATTAATAAAAATGACAAAACTAAATTACTAAAACTTAAACTAAAATTAAAATGAAAACTGAAAATATTAAAATAAATGTTAACTCAAAATATAAATACTATAATAGTATAAAAAAAAATACTAAGAGAATGAAGTTTTGTTTTAGCAAAAACATGGGCTAAAACAAAGACAAAAAAAATCACTTAGATTTGCATAAATAATATTATACAGTAATGCTATGTTGTGTTCTAATGATTTTTTTTTTTTATAAAACCAGAATTAAATTTTTAGCTATATAGGTTTCATGATCGACAGGTCATTAATATTCCAGTCAACATCTGAATTGTCAAAGTCAGTTAGCTAACCTGTTATCTGTATAGGCATTCAATATTAAAAAAAAAAAAAGACAAAATAAAAGGCAATGTACTATATCAACGTTTTGTCATATAGACAATGATTCGTTACTTACTTTAACTGTAATTATCCTGGTGACAATATAATTAGCTAGCTAGCCTTTAGCTGGCTAGCTGTATCATATATCAAAGACTATCTAGCAACGTTTGTTTACTTTTATAATGTTATTTCATAACAAAAACAGATGGGATAGACACTGTATAGTAACTGACACTAGAAATTAAAAGAGTTTTACACAGTAGGAGTTATGAGCTATAGCGCTAGCTGCTAGCTCCATCCTGCTAAATACACAAAACAAACAATCATACCATTTCTGATCCGTTTCAGACGAGGATCCAGTCAGTAGACTCAGTCACGGACACTGTCTGTCCAGCTGTTTCTACAACACAAGATGTCAGAAAGGTGACTTATGCTCTGTTTTAACAGTAGCATATAGCTTGACTCGTAATATTGAAGAAACAGAGCCACGTCTTCAGAGTCCAACCGGAAAAAGTTGCGCCGTGTCAGAAACAGAAGAGAGCTGATGCAGGAGAGACGGCGACATCTACCGGCGGAGAACAGCTACTGCGCATGCGAACAATAAACTTCACACATACTTGCAGACTTCTTACTGATTTCATGGTATGAATGGAGAAAATACACTACCGTTCAAAACTCGGGCTCGGTAAGATTTATTTATTTATTTATTTAGGATGTATTAAATTGATCAAAAGGGACAGTAAAACATTTATAATGTTACTTACATTTATATTTCAAATAAATGCTGTTCTTTTAAACTTTCTTTTCATCAAAAATCATGAATTTTATTTATTTATTTATTGTTTCCATAAAAATATTAAGCAAATCATTTCTAAAGGATTAGGTGAGACTGAAACCTAGTAATGCTGCAAATTCAGCTTTGCAGTACAGGAATAAATTAAATGTAATTATATATTAAAATCATATGTTAAAAAATAATAACAAAACACTTACTAATAAAAACTAATAAAAAAAACTCCTATTTTAAATTGTAATAATATTTCACAATATTACTATTTTTACTGTAAAAAAGAAGAAAAAAACATTGTTGAGGGGATGAATTATGAGAAATAACATTTAGTCAATTTTTTATGCTTATTTTGTCTTATTTCAAATAATTTTAAGTCACTTTGAGGCCCCTTGGATGTTTTCTGAAGGCCCCGTCCCAATAGTTGAGAACCACTGAAATTTGAAAGAATTTATTTATTTAGAATTTATTTTGATTTCTTAAGTAAAACAAAGAAAAGTGTGAGGTATTTTGATACAATTGTATATATTTTTTAAACCATTTAAAACAAATAAGGGTTTAAAATCTTAAAACAAAATATTTATCTTTTGAATTTTAACATTCTATTGAAAGGCTAAATAAATCAATAGATGTGGTTTATATTGCAACTGCTACAAATAATCTGACGTCCACAGAAGACCAGATGTCCTTCCCTGAGAGGGTAATGAAGAAGTGGAAACCATTTATTTTTAGATTTTTTTAATGCTGAAAGCAGCTACTTAAACAGTCACGCTTACTTGTTAGTTGTAACATGTCACTTTAAGAGGTATGGAAAATAAAATACGAAGCACATTGGGAAAGACTGGAATGAATTATTTCAATAACTACACCCCTGCCATCAGCAATCCAAACTTATATATTTTTCAACGTGATGATCCATGGTGTCTTCTTACACCACTGACTAAGACAATTTGTCTTACTGTGTCACAGAATCAATGTCTACAAGCATCACATATATAAGTTTACAAGGTCATCTTTATTGCTGTCCATTAAGTGCAACAACATCAGCAAAACACATATTTAACTTGGTCTGTTGGTTTAGACCCCATAAACAAGTGCGGCATACTTTACATTCAGATGAACAACATATGCTGAAAAATCACAGATGAGTTCATTATTCCAGCATTTATTTTTATTTATTTTATTTATTTTGACCTGGGGATTTATTAACTTCAAAAACAGCGGCCAGTGCTGCACAACATCCCACTTCAATACTGCTTGCTCTCAAAGCCAAAGTTACAATCATAATCCAAGTCAACCACATAATTACATGCAACGTCCAAATGTAGGCCATAAATATAACAAACCAAACCCAGCTCCAATGACAACCTGCGTTCACTGACCTAAAGCACTGACTTACTGCGCGTTTTGCATGATATTGTATTGTTCACAATGGACAGGTGTATTTCTGGTTATATTACTTTGGGTCTACTGTGTTTCATGAATGCACATGGTCTTAATACAGTAGATGATTCTCTCAGTGGTGGGTTTTGTTTGGAGATGATTGGCAGAGGTGCAGCTGTCAGCATGTTTACTTCTGCGCTGGTGGCTTCTCTCCACAGGTGATGGAGATGTTGCGTTCAGGGATGTCCAGTATGTGGCGTAGTGTGCAGATGGTCAGCACACCATCAGAGGACAGAGAAGCAGTGATGGCACCTGGATCTACACCAGCGGGGATCTTGTACTTCCTGTAAAACTCCCTTGCCACAGCACCATGCTCATCCTGTAACAGAGACAGATACTGTTGCTTCGAACTGAGGTGTATCAGTAACACAATAATGGCCATCAGGGTTATGCACCATTTAGAATTCAGTTGAGAATGTTTTCTTGAATTTGAATTGTGTTGAACTGAGATGGAAAACAAACTAGAACTGAAATTTGAATTTAAAACGCAGAGTTTACGTAAAATGAAACTTTTAACAAGAAAAATGAATGATGTCAAATTAAAACAAAGTTCGAAAGTCTTGATATTTGAAGGTTTTTAAAGGCTTTTCCTTTGGGCATGGCAATTCAGTTAAACTGAAACTCATGAATTGAAAACAAGCTGCATTCTATTTCAATGTTCCCCAATCTTGAATATTTGATTTCCAACCTTGTTTTTATAACATAATATTACAAAAAACACTATTTAAGTTCAAAATGGTGAATAAAATGAAGGTGAGTTTGTGTTTTGTTACCTGCCGTTCGTCATGTTTCCCATAAATCTCAATAAAATCATCATTGATCTTGACCATCAGTTCGTCTGGAGAGAAGTGCTTCACATCCAGGTTGATAACAAACCGATCTCTATCCATTCTCATCTGTGCGGGAGAATATGGCAAACTTAATATGCAAAATCTCTGAAAACATAGTTTCTAATATTGTGACTGGCTTATTTGGAGTTAAGACTTTTCAATGTTTTTTAAAAGAGGCTCTTATGCTCATCAAGGCTGTAATTCAAAATACAGTAGAACAGTTGTGAAATATTTGTATAATTTTACATATGTTTTTAATATATTGCAAAAATGTCATTTATTCCTGTGATGGCAAAGCCGAATTTTTACCAGCCATTGTGATTTCCTTCAGAAATCATTCTAATATGCTGATTTGCTGCTCAACATTTATTATTATTATTATCAATGTTGAAAACATTTGTGCTGCTTAATCTTTTTGTTGAAACAGATCATTTTTCTTCTCAGGATTGATTGATGAATATAGAGTTTAAAAGAACAGCATTTATTTGAAACAGAAATCGTTTGTAACATTATAAATGTCTTTATTGTCACTTTTGGTCAATTTAATGCAGTGGTCACCAACCTTTTTAGGCCCAAGATCCCTGACCTCGGCCTTTATGAAAGACAAGATCGACCTATTGAAGAATTGATAGAAAAAGACATCCCAGATTGTACTTCAAATTTGAGGCCTTTTACTTAGTATTTTAATTAGTGATGCGCCGATCATAGCTGATTCGGAATTCAGATTTTCTTTTCTTTCTTTCTTTCTTTTTTTTTTTTAACTAGCAAATTGGATTCGGATACTGATACTGATTTGTAAGCAAATTAATTTATTGGCTATTTGCTTTATAACATATGGAAGCCCGTTTCCGCCACTGAATAAAAAAATATAATTCTGTAAGTCATAATAATGAGAAACTTTCTCAAAATTATGACTTAGTATCTCGTTATATTGAGAAACTTTCTCGTAATAATGAGAAACTTTCTCGTAATAATGAGAAACTTTCTCGTAATAATGAGAAACTTTCTCGAAATAATGACTTAGTATCTCGTAATAATGAGAAACTTTCTCATAATAATGACTTATTTTCTCATAATAATGA